GCCTGGTATTCTCAAATCCTTTGAGAAATGGTGATTTAGAAGTTGAAAGGATTTTTTATTGCTCTTAGAAATTGTCTTCCTTTTATTGATTGATTGATTGATCGATCTGATCTCTCACTGTCTCCTTGAGCAGTTGCGTGACCCATTTTTTCAGGTATGCAGGAAAAAAACGGATTAAATTTTCAACTCATTTTCAGTCTTTGCATGGATATGAATGTTTACATAAGTGAAATTGTCAGAGAAAAAAATGATAATCAACAAGGTTACCATTACACATTTTGAAGGATCTATGCAAAAAACAGTAGTAAAAGGTATAGGTTCTAAAAAGATGTCCGGAAGAGGTAAAAAGAGCAGCTAGTGGAAAAAAATACTATAGAGTTTTTCAAAATGTACTGATGAGATGATTGTTAATTCTCAGGCAGAGAATGGGGGAAAAAAGCAGGACAAGAAGAATTTGGAGGAGATAGCAGAGCAAGAGGAAATGAGAGATGAGGTGTCAGGAGGAGCAAGATTAAATAGATAGGGATTTGATGGTGGGAAGGAAAAAAAAAAAAAGAATTTCCTGTTAAAAGCAATTCATCCCAGGCTATTGTCCTCTCTTCCACAGGAAAAGAAAAAAAAAAAAAAAAGCTTTTAACATTTTGTTCTGCTTTGCATAAGTTCTACACTGACCTCATCACTGTGACATTTGAGCTCCTTTCAGTACTGCATTTGACAGATCTCTCTCGTACAGTTCATTCCTTCCTTTTTCTTCTCAGGTGCAGAAATAGCTTTGTAGTTGAAATACATGTTTTGGTAGCCTTTTCTTTTAGTTTGTTGGGTTTAATTTATTTATATACTAAATTGCAAGTAGATATTTATGTGAACTTATTCTGGAGAAGGAAAGCGGGAACAGAAAGGAATAGGAAAGAAGGGAAAGGTCTCTGTCTTGTGCTTCAGTATGGTGAGGTTCGTGCTGGTTCTTCAGTCCTGAGGGACTGTTGTCCACAACGTATTTGCAGCCACCAGGACATTTTGCTTCCTGCACAGAACAACTTTTTCTCTTCCTGTTCAAATAAACTTCAAGCTGAGGGTTGGAGTCAATTACTGTACACCTGGAACACAGCTTGCCTGGGGGAGCTAGTTAATGTGTTAAATATCCTTGCCCTTGGAGATAGCTTCTTCTAAAAAGACTGAGATAATGACCAAAATCTGATGATTTACAAAGGTTAAATAGCACCGTTGAAAAACTAAATACAGCAACATAGTAAGACATTAAGAGATAGGAAAAAATGCTTTTTGTTTCCTTTGGGATATGAAAATATTTGTATCAGAAAGGAAACGGGAGATTTCTAAGGCCCTTCTTCTGCCTTGAGGCAGGACCAAATACTTCTAAGCCATTCCTGACATGTTATTCTGCCTTATTCTTGCAATACCTCTTGCCAAAAATAAACCTCATTGCTTCTTTGCCCATCCCAATGGACATTTAGAACAGTTCGTATTGCTCCTGCTTCCTGCCAGCGCTGGCTTGAAAAGCAGCCAGTGCTCACTTGTGCTGAATATAACCTCCCATTTTTTCATAGGTCTTACATAAGACCCTGCTGTTTATGCCCACATTAAGGCATTCATTTTCTTCTTATTCTTTCTTTCGTTGTTGTTATTGTTGGCAATAGGATGATGAGTTGACTTAACATTGCATGTGGAAGCCTCCACGTGCCTTCCCGTGGAATAGAGGTCGAAGTAGGCTTTCTTTTTTAGGTTTATTTATTTTGCAGTTGTTGAGTTAATTAATTCTTCATGCTTCAGCAAAGGACTTTCCACATGTCCCAGCTGCATTCTATATTTTTTAAGTCTCATTTCACAGAATATTTTCTGTTTATAAATCTCCAGTGCTGAAGCGCACAGCCTCTCCCAGTTGGATTTCACTCACAAAGGGAACACCCCATATTAGTCCCAGTCCCTCTGGCACAGGTTGCTCTCCATCCTTTGGCACAGCACTTAGGCCAGGTACAACATTCTGCTCCATGGTGCAGTATTTCTTTAGGACAGACCCTTCCCTGCCATCTGACATACATTTGTTTATCCACTCAGGTGATGGGAAAAAGTCCCATAGCAAAGATAGCACGTGGGAGCAGTAAGGCCCAATAAGATAACATGTGAGGTCCACAGTACTGTTCTTAGTTGCTCTAAAGATGACTTTGGAAAAATAAATAAATAAAGGTGCATGCATGGCTGCATGAGTATCCTCTCCCCAGTGTTCTTTTTTAGTGGTCTAGGGATGGGGAAAAATTTGGTAGTGGTGCTGGATATGTGTGCATAAAATCTCAGAGGAAATGTTGAGCCTTCTGTGTTGGCCTTAGCTGTTGGCCTTCTTGGTCAAGTTTGTTTTTAATGGAAATGTAGCCTCATTCCTAAAAAGAGATTAAAGAATGGAATTGCTTACAAATATACCTCAGCATAAATGAAGTATAAATAGAGCATGAATTGGTTTTGAGTGTATTATAAATGATAGATGTAAGTTAGATAAGCTTCATAATAGCATGTGTTCAAATTATTTCAAAACTACAAATATCTTAGCAAGTTTTACAGTAACATACATGGTTAAGGTACTTTTTAGCTTATCAGCAGTGAAATAAGATCAGTCTATGGCAAGAAAAGTATTTGAAACATAATGAGATTTACAGTTTGAAATTTTATTCCTCTCGATATTTCTATTCAATTCTAAAGATTGTGGGGTTTTTTTTCTGTATTTTTTGAATCCTACTTAACAAAATTTCCAGTAGTCCCAAATGCAATGAGAATGGGGCATCCAAAAATTTGACCAATAAGGGTCCTTTAAGGGTTATTTACTTTCTGTCTTTAACGTCATCATCTGTAGTACAGGGAAAAAATGATGATTAAAAAATAAATTCTAGAGGCACAAACTAAGTTATTTTGGCCATCTTACTGGAAGTAGAAAATAAACAGCAAGGAGTTTGTTGAATATCACTGTCTTTTAGACTTAATAGGCTCCACTAAATGTTACAGATAAATATGTATTTTTCGTATTTCCCTACATAAAGTCAGTTACCTTAGTTAGACAGTCAATACAGCAACATCTTTACTACTTGTGCTACCATAAAATTAAGTTATGTGGTGCTAAAATGTGAAACAAGTTACTAAGAGTTCTTATAAAAATCTGGCCAAATTAATATAGAAAAATGTTTAGTTTGGTCACTGGAAAAGTACTTCTAAAGTAATACATATTCAAATGTAAATGAAGAAGGAAATGCATTGAAAAAAGTGTTTCTGAAAATCTGGAGAAAAACAAGAAACCATATTCAGATTTACAAACTTTTCTAGATGTTCTTATCTTTGAATAAAAATTGCTTTAGTGAGGTTGTTTTTGAAGTGTCCTTAATTTTGTACCCATCACCAGTGGATTCATAGAAATTGTTAGTGATTCGTAAGTTTAGAAATGTTCCTGAATTTGGAACCATTTAGAAATGATGGGTTACTGGTTTCTTCTTCTATGGAGCTGGGAACACACTGGAAACTCATGGGCTTCCCGTTGAACTGCACGAATCAAATCTAGCTGTGCGTTTAGGCCACCACAATAACAAAGCTAAATGAATTCACTTAAACCATGTTTAAACCATAATTTATTGACCTGGTGAGAATTGCCTCAATGCTGCTGTATTTTTAAGGTGAATATAAAATTTTTAAATGCTTTTCTTCTTTTAGAAGAGCATTTCCTTAAGCATTATTTTAGACAATACCAGTATTTTCTGAACTTTTTTTAAAGAAAGTTAATGAATGGCTACCCCCTCTTCAGTATGGCAGTCTGATATACAACATAAGCTATCTGTATTGTGTGTAAATATATATATACACATACATACACATATATAAAAAAGTATTTTTTCTGACATGCGTAAAAAACAATCTTTGAATACACAATATGCAAGTCTCTTAATACATATCCTGCCAGAGGTTCGTTATCATAGTAGAGGCGTGTATATCAATCATTAATTTGAACATGAGGAGATACAAATACTTAATTTGCAATGCATTTCCAAAAATATTTTCATTTATTTCTCTAATAGGTGGTCTCCTCATCTTTATATTGAATGTAATAATAAAAATGTATAGTTTATAAATTGCATTAGGCCAGCTTGAGATGAAAGGAAAATTCCTTTAGCTCTTGATCAAAAATGCAGAGCCTGTACTGAGTCTGACTATAACCGATTTAATAAAGAGGAAAAATAGGTTCTTTGAAATAAGATTTCAAAGCTGCTCTCCAAGAAAAGGAAATTTAATAGTTTCAAAAGTGAAAATATATGGTAATTCTCATTTTTAACAATCTTAGATAGAAAAGAAACTGGTCAAACTCGAATCCTTGAAATCACATTTAGATGATATATCAAACAATAAATATATGTTCAGTTGTACCATTGCTTTTTGCTGTTCCATTTTCTCCTAACTCCAGCAACAGTGTGTGGGGTGAAAGCAAATCCCTGTGAAGAAAAACCTACTGGAGCTTTCATACTGAAGCCTATAGCACCTTGCTAGTTTTGATAATGCAGTATTAGTAATTGCCATCCTAACCAGCAGACAACCCGCCTCTGCGGGAGCACACACAGGACCTGGCTGGCACTGGGTCCCTCTTCCCAGTCACTGGTGCCCGGGAGGCACGATGCCACCTGCGCAGCAGAAGGAGGGGTGCCTGGGATGTTCTTTTGGTTTTGACAGATAAGAAGCAGTCATATGTAGCTTAAAAACTTAATTTATGATGGGTGGATGTATTCCACCCCTATTGTCCTTCCTTATTATTTATAAAGGGGCTGCAGCAGAGCCTCGATGAATCATCTTTTGTGCAGTTGGGCATTCTGGTATAAATTGTACTAACCTGCCTAAAATAGCGAAGATTAATTACTAGGCAAGGACATGATACACTGCTTGGGCAGCTCAGAGTTTGGCCCTGTGTCAATCTTGTTGCTCATTTGGGTTTTTCTCTCTGTCTTTGCCTCTCCTCCTGACAGGTGCGTGCCCAACCACTGCGAACACGGAGGCAAATGCACCCAGACATGGGACAGCTTCAAGTGCACTTGCGATGGAACTGGATACAGCGGCGCCACTTGCCATAACTGTAAGCAGTGCAGCCCTTTCAAATTAGTACTAGCATCTCGTGAGTCTTGTCTACGTAGGGTATGTTTATGTAGCACTGTGCAGCATTGTGCAAAGGGACCAGACCCACATAGGTGTCTCAGCTGGGTGGCCTGACCAAAGTCGTTCTCAGCAATTTCACATGGAGTTTCATACAGTTACAAGGAATCTGCCCTAAACTGCTGGGGAGAGTTGCTGAACAATTTCAAGTACTCATTTGGATTGCTAGTCCCCGAACAGGTTTTGGTCATTTTAAAATCAAAATATTTCCTCCTGTTGTAAGTCTTTCTTGCAAATAACAATTTGTTATAATTTGCTATGAGCTCCTGTCCTAGAGGATGAAAGCGAAGAAAGAAGAGAAAAAGGTTCAGTTGCTCATTTTTACAGGTTCTGAACTGTGCATGATGGTCATATGTGTCTTCAGTTCATACATCTGAAGTGACACTTTCATCTGCAAAGTATATTTTAAAATGTCTGGAAGATTCAAAAAACATATCTAGTGCTTCCCTTCTCCATTTTTTTCACTTAGGGAACTGCAACTTAATATTAATGAGAAAGCAAAGATATTTCTAAACAGGTTAAAAGATAATTTTGAGACATGTTTGTGTGTATATACACACAGGTGTATAGGAAAAATGTATATATATGTGTATGTACCTACATATATAGCTATATATCACAGAATCACATAATGGTTGAGGTTGGAAGGGACCTTAGAGATCATCTAGTTCAACCAACAAGGTCACCAGCTGCTTGGCAGTGGTTTGGATAAGAGGGCAGGAGACATGTCACCCAGCAGAGGCCAGGCTTAGAGATGGCACGAGTGGGTACATCACTGCAGCCTGAAAAGGATATGTCCCTTCCAGTACCCAATATGGCTGTTACAGCCCCTACCGGTCAAGGCACTGGAAATACCGTCCAAAGAAGAGCTTAAAATAGTGAAAAGAACTAAATTTGAGGCCTCCTTAGTCTGCATCCTTAGAGCTTTATTTCAGGCAGCAAGCTCGGGCAGGTGGGCGGGACAAGGCCCCTTCCTCGTCCCCCTGCCACCAGCCGTTTCTCTGCTGACAGCAGGAAAGCAGCTTCCACAACAGCATGGAGGTGGCAGCAAAATGGGCACTGTTCTGCCCTCACTCTGCCTAAATCTCTCAGTCCAATAGACAACAGGAGGACAACGTCCTCTCCATTTGCTTTCCTTTTCTCTGCTCCCCTTTGGATAAAAGTGTTGCAGGCAGGACAAGGTTTTCCCCAGCAGGAGAGGGGGACATAAAGTGATTATACCCATGCAGCATTATTGCCACATTCATTGATGGTTTTAAATTTTCTAGGATGTTCTCAATTTAGGGATGTTTTTTCCTTTCCAGAGTTTTTTCCCAAATATTAAAATATTTCTTCCCTGCCTTTAGTCTCAAGCCATATGTCTCAGCATCTTGAACCTGAGCTCTCTGCACAGACTCAACACTACATCTCTTTGCCTTTTAAAGTGCTTCTAGCAAAATGTTGGCAGTTTGTCCCTATCTTCTGAAAGGAAGGAAGGCAGCTACTAGCAAAGAGGGGACTTTTCCAGATTTCACCTACAGACTCTGGAGCAAACTGGATCCTGCAGCATGTAGCTGGAGGCTTTGGTTCAGGGCCCATCTCAGCTAGCAATTTATCATACAGGTTTGCATATGCCCCTTGCATCAAAGACAAGACAGATTCATTTAGACTGGAGGTATGAGCAGCAATGCAGCTTGCCCCCATGAACAGACCCTTTAAAAATAGATACATGCAATTAGCGTCAAGTCATATTTGGAACTATGATCTTGCTTGTACTTTCCCACTTTCACTTCCATTCTCTGATCAGAGAGAACGCACCGTGCACAGATACACAACAGCCTGTCCCTATTTGGTGGGAGCTAGGGACAAGGAGCCAATGCTGGTCTCTTTTCTAACCCTCATGCATTAATTTACAATATCAACGCTGTTCCTTCCATACCTCATGCTTCCTCACAGTGGCAGGAAACACCCTCCCTTGAGCCTGCATCATAGGCTACTGAGAGCAGATTCCAGTCCTCTCTCTGTTCCAGACTGATAAAGCCTCCTTCCTCCATCTATTTTAAGAGGAGCTACAGGGGTCTCCAAGGGTCTTTTCCCCAGCACTAACTCAAGGAAGACAAATAAATTATTCATGATTTTAAGAAGAAACCAAAACAATTAAGTTGCACTGGTTTGAAAACTACCTCTTGGAATATTTCCAGAGTGTTTTGTTGCCCAATTGTCTTCCATTCAATAAGGCTGGATGACCCTGTTGCACAGTGAGCCGGTGTCCCATGTCCCTTACCCAGAGGTCAACCAGAACGACACACTGACACACTTCACAGATGCTCTTGCACCAAACTGGAGGGATGGATTTTATTTATTTGAGTGTGAGCTGAAAGACATGTGAAGACCCCAATCACGCTTCCTTCTTTGACTCCCCTGTTTGTAATTAGTGCCCCAGAACAGCAATGGGAAGGTATAAGGCCTGGAAACTTGTGCTGACTTCAGTCTTGCTTGACGTATGTGTAACCACAGCCATAACTCTAGTAAGTAACTGATGGAGTAATGACAGCAGTGGGAACTCCGGAATTACTGGAAAGACCCAAGTGGAATTCAGCTGCATCTTCCTGGCTCTTGTGTCCTGTGTTAACGAGATCACAGCTGAAGAGGCGGTGCTTGGCTCTAGGTGCTTGGCTCTACTTCAGTCCTACTCTCTTTCCACTGCACACCTGAGGTGCCTGGGTGGCTTCCAAGAAGGAGCAGTCCCTGTTTTCCTTCCAGTTCATACCACAGTGTTTTCTCTCTAGTTGGAAGCTATGGCTTTGATATAGAAGTTATTTCAGTTGATGAAATGTCCCTCATGGAAGGTAATGTTTAAACTAACCACAGTCCCGTAGAAATCACCAGCTGTAACTTTTAGTCCTTCGGCAGGGAGGAGGACCGGCCTTTGGAGACAAAAAGTAGTGGAGAACTGGTGTTTGAGAATTCATAGTGGTGCCTTCGGTCCCAAAGCACTTCCCAGGGCTGGGAGCAGCCTCCGTCCACTGGACACGCCACTCCTCCGGAATGCCCCGTCACAAGCCACCGTGCCGAAGCCTCTGTGTTTGTGACATCCAAGGGCCAAAGCCCTGCTTGGCCGCCGCAGCCGTTTGCCAGTGGTGCTGCCGGGGTGTTTGCTCTGGAACCCGCGGCCTCCCGGCAGCGCTGGGACAGCGCGAGCGCTTCTCAACCCTTGACTCCTGAAGCTCGAGCATCGCGACTTCGCACTCTCTTCTTTAAAGGGTAACTACTGCTTTCTCTTAGCAGTTCTGCTCATTAAGGCCCAACCTTCCTGGGTTGATGAGCCGAGGGCTGACTGACGACATGGAGCAGACAGGCCCAGACCCGCAGGCGACAGCGGGCGTGCGCTCCTCGAGGAGCAGGAGCCACGGGAGGGCTCTGCTCTTCCCTGGCTGCCAGCTAGCCGCTCACCTCGGCCGGAGAGCCGCAGCCAGCGCCCGCGCCGGCACCTCCCTCCCTTGGGCACGAGGGGCAGCAGCCCAGCTGCAGGCTGACCACAGCCTAGAGGTCTAGAGGTGCCTGCGCTCAGATCCGGCACCCACGTCTGCCTCAGCAGCACAGGACTGTCCCAGGAACACAGGTGGGACATGGCCTCGAAAGACAGACCTTGTTCTGACAGGCAGCGACCCCGGGAACATCCCCGTCTACTGCGAAATGTGTTTGGAGGACATCTCAGATGGAGAATTAGGAAAGCTCTCAAAAAATGAGTTTTTCCAAATCTGTATAACTGGCTTCCTGCTTGCTGTTTATACCAAAAAGAGGCAGGGACTGTTAGAACCCAGCAGGAAGAAGTGCCTTGAGGTGCTGTGCGAAAAGGAAACCTCCCAATAGGCGGAATACAACAGCCCAGTGCCACCACAGCACAGCCGTCTTGTTGATGTCACATTCGTGAGGGAATCTCCTGCCATTTCTATGGCAGAGCCCTTCAATGGGAGATTTTTGCCCTTGCAAGAAAGATGAGACAGTGGCTGTAGCACCAGTGATATCTCTGCTCAAGCTAGGAACGGGGCATTGGCCCAGGCCATCAAAGACACTGACCATCCTCAGCCTGACCTCAGAGGAGCAGCAGGCAGCAACTAAAACAGAAACCCAAAGTAGAGCACAGGAGGAGTCTGCCTTCCACCTCCTCCCCTACCACACCTGCTGGGGAGTCTGAAGATGAAAATTCACTCTCACCAAGGAAACGGCATCAGTCCTGCTAGCAGTAGGAAAACACGGGTTTCCAGCAGCTATTTACAGCAAGCTGCTTTGTCCTGCAACAACCCTCTTTAAGATAGTCTGTTATGTGTTCTAAACAAAATTAGTGATGTTGTTTTTAAGTTGCAGTCTGGTGTGTGTTCATTATAGCCAACAGGATAATTAAAACATGCTCCTAAGCTCTTGGAAGAAGGAGGGCCCGGTGAGGATATTCAGAACGCAGAAGAATGTTGGACTTAGAAGCTTTGAAAGATCTCCATCAAAGGCAGAGTATCCCGTAAAGGAACAAGAGAAGCTTTAGTGTGATATTGGGCTTCTCGTGCAAGTATATGCCCTGTAATGTAATCTTGACACGTATATATCTACACATACGTATCTAACAGTGGCTGTATAAAATAAAATGATTGAAGATTTCTGTTATTTTTAATCAAAGGAATCTAACAAAGCGACAATCCCCAGGTACTTGAGTTTTAAGTAAAAACTATTCTATATTTAATTGTAGTATTAATGTAAGAGGGAATGCATTTTATACACTCACTATATTTAGAAAAACACTGTACTGAATGAACTCAGTAGTAGTGAATTCATTGCTGAATGTAGTACTGTATATTACTGCATAGTACTGAATGGCAAAATCCTTCATGAAGGATCCTCTCCTCCTTTGTTATTCCTTTTTGAGTTACTGTTTAACTGAGATCTTGCTGG